CCAAGGGGTAGGAGAGGAGGAGTTTGGGAGTTGAGTTCTATCAGAATCTCCCAAGGAGTGGAGAAAGCTAAATAAGAACATTTCTGTACATTTAAATGGAGATAATTTGATAGGCCTTCTGTGCTAGTCAAGCTGTGACTATGAAATCAAAGTAGTAAACATAGAACATATGATCATGTCTTTATTTGAGCAATTGTGACTTTATATGTATTTAAAAGTTACTTTCTTTGAATTTGATTTTCTGATACGGTTTTCAAAATTAATTATGTTACAGCATAACAAAACTTACCACAAATGTTAGAGTATCAATGTGATAATGTTGACCATATTACAGCCATGCCAGATAAGACCATATCATAGTAAAATCAAAGGATATACTATATAGTGTGTAGTAAAAGGAAACATTGAACTTTCATTGTACATGTACTACATGTATTTGTTTATGCATGCTATTGCTTTGGTTTTATTAGCTCACCGGGTCCGAAGGACCAAGGTGAGGTAATGCTATACCGTGGCGTCCGTGCGTCGTCCAACCGTCAACAGTTCTTTAAACGACTTCTTCTTCTTAATTTTTGATTGGAATTTAACTAAATTTGACTGGAAGCATCCCTAGGTGATGGGGATTCAAAATTGTACAAATGGTGGGACTGACCCCCAAGGGGCTAAGGGGTGGTGCCAAAAAGGGTTATTTTGCTATGTTGCTTTAATCGACGACTTCTGTAGATCTGTGCCATGGATATCGATCATATTTGGTTGGAAGCATTCATGGGAGGCAGCGATTCAAAATTGTACAAATCGTGGAGCTGACTCCCCGGGCTAAGGGTTGGGACCAAAAAAAGTTTTATTACTTGGAAATGGTTGAGATACCCACCATATAACCATATATACAATTGCTGAGTATAAAGAGAAGAATGCACATTTGCTTCCAGGATGGCCCTAGGGTATGGCCCCACCCTTCGATACTTAATACCTTGGTCATAACTTCGAAATGGTTAAAATCCCCACCCCAAAATTGCTTCCAGGATGGCCCTAGGGTCTGGCCCCACCCGTGGAGACAGTCCCTGGGCAATAACTTTAGAACGGTTGGGATCCCCACCTTAAAACTATATATACAAATGCTGGGCATAAAGAGACGAATGCAGTCATGATATTAGAATTGACCCCAGGTTCTGCCCCACCCTTGCAGACTTAACTCCTGGGTTATAACATTGAAACGGTTGAGATACCCACCCCAAAACTATACATACGAATGCTGGGCAAAAAGAGACAAATACAGACATGATATTAGAATTGATCCTGGGGTCTGGCCACAACCCTAAGGACCTAGTGTCTGAGTCACAGCTTGGAAAAAGTTGAGATCCCCACCCCATAACCATACTTAAAATTGCTGGGCATGAAAAATCTAATACAGATATGCTACAAGGATTGGCCTTGGCATATTCCCTTGGATCTCATTTGGAGAATATTTTGCCATGATTGTTTAGATATCCAGTTGAGCAATACAGGCCCTCTGGTCCTCTTGTTCATGTATACAGTCATGTATACAGTCATAAATTAAAATGTAAGACAAGCTTATGGTGCTTTTGTAACAGCAAAGAGATGGCCTAATTTGTTTTATATCATTCCACATAAATGTATAATAATTTGAGGTTCTTATATACCGCTTTATCACAACCTAGGTCCTAGGTCATCTCAAAGCGATTCACAAATTATTATCAGTGATTATATGGACACCATTATGAAGTCTGCTCATTCAGGATAAAATTTAGAAGAAAAAATTACACACGCACATGCTGCCAATCCTCCAGTGCCATGAGCTCTTTGTTTTTAGGTTACTTTTTGTGGAGTTATGACCCTTTACCATAAAAAAACTGTCCTGACTATTTCTCCTGAAACACTGCACACATTTCCATTATAAAGGGGTATGTGTTAACCTGTGGTTTACAGTTCTAGTTGCATTATGATTCCTTTTGGTGTGTTTTTTGTCAGAAACATTTCAAATCCTGAGTATAGATATAAATAAACTCAATAGGGATATATCACTTGTTTGAGAATCTGTTGGTCTAGGATGCTACAGTATTATATTGTATTATGTAGATGTTTTTATGGGTGAGTGCATCTTTTGTTTGAAATGTTAGGTTTTAAAAGTTGGAATATCCTAACCAACTTTTCAAAATAGTAAGTATTTTCAAATCTCCTTAATACATTCCTCTTTTTTCAGCTTACATAAAGCCATCAATGAGCTGGCTGAGGAGAGAAGAGGAGGGCATATGTTATATGATATTATAGAGGTGAGTATCACTGTAGATATTTAAACATTATTAAAAACTATTGACCTAAACCATTCTCAAGTTAGTCATTAAAAAATAAATAGAAAAATAAATATGAAGAGAAAAAAATATGGAATAATTTTGTTGCATTTTCATATGCTTCAAATTGCTACTCTGTATCTCTATTAGTTGTGAACTGCAGCAAGACAGTAGCTATAGGTTTTGTATGGGTTAATAAAGAACGTTTCTACATGTACTTCATCAAAGGTAGAAGGTAGAATAGCTTTCCTATTTTAGCTCACCTGTGAGCTTATGGCAAGGTGCGGCGTCCGTCGTCCGTCCGTCCGGTGTCCATCCGGCGTCCGTCCAGCGTCAACTTTTTACTTTGAACAACTTCTTCTCAGTAACCAAAAGACCTAGGGTGATGATATTTGGCCAGAAGCATGCTTGGATGAAGGGCTACCAAGTTTGTTCAAATAAATGACCTTCATCAATATTCAAGGTCACGGGTGTCAAATATGTTAAAATATTTAAACAACTTCTTCTCAGTAACCAAGAGGCCCAGGCTGATGATATTTGGCATGTAGCATGCCGGGATAAAGGGCTACCAAGTTTTTTCAAATGAATGACCTTGACCCACTTTCAAGGTCACACGGGTCAAATGTCTTAAAATCTTCAAACGACTTCTTCTCAACAACCAAAGGCCCAGGGTACTGATATTGGGCTTGTAGCATGCTGGGATGAAGGGCTACCAAGTTTGTTCAAATGAATGACCTTGATGAACTTTCAAGGTTACTGTGGTCAGATGTCTTAAAATCTTCAAACAACTTCTTCTCAATAAACAAAAGGCCCAGGGTTCTGTATTGGGCCTGTAGCATTCTGGGATGAAGGGCTACCACGTTTGTTCAAATGAATAACCTTGACGAAATTTCAAGGTCACTGGGGTCAAATGTCTTAAAATCTTCAAACAACCTCTTCTCAATAACCAGAAAGGCCCAGGGTACTGATATTGAGCCTGAAGCAGGCTGGGATGAAGGGCTACCAAGTTTGTTCAAATGAATTACCTTGACCCACTTTCAAGGTCACAGGGGTCAATTGTCTTAAAATTCTCAAACGACTTCTTCTTAATAACCAAAAGTCCCAGGGTACTGGTATTGGGCCTGTAGCATACCAAGTTTGCTCAAATGAATGTTCTTGACCCACTTTCAACCTAATGTCATTGTTCGACATTCAAGGTCACAGGCGTCATATGTTTAAACCTTTTAATAGGTTCTTATGAATCAAACACTGATATTCTGCCTGTTGCTGTATTTTAGTCCACTTTTAAGATTACAAGTGTGAAATTAATACCAGGTGAGCGATGCAGGCCCATTGGGCCTCTTGTTTACCTAAACACTCTTATTTGTTTAACTGTCCTTCTGGTCAGTATGTCAAATGTTAAAGTTTAGAAGAAGGTTGGTATAAGCTAAAAAAACATAACAAGTTAACTGTATCCTGTTACAAACCCAGCGGAAATACAGTTTAATCTATCTGTTGTCTCTACTGTATTGTTTTGTTTCTGAGTGAACATTTAACCTGTCATTGAGAGCTACCATATGTACATGGTAGTACAAAAAATATCATTTAATTTTCATAGACTATTTAAACAGCTCCACATTATCAGTTTCTCATCGGGTTCTAAGCTGAAAAGTAGTCAAAATCATTCACCTTTGCTTGTTAACTGATCGGTGTTTTAGGGTAAATACAACAATTGTTTGTTATTATTTTTATTTTTAGTTACCAGTACTTTCTTGTAGATTGTGTTAATTTTTAGTGTACTATACATACACAATCTACACTATTTATCTCCACAGCTGGCCAAGGAAAGTCTGACGGAAGGAAATGTCCCCCACTGTCCATGTACAATATGTTTGGACCACTTTTCTAAGGGGGAGGAGTTTACACGTACCGGTTGTTACCACTACTTTCATCGACACTGTCTGTACCGATATGTTACACACACCCTTGAGAGCCTGAAGAGTGAGGCACATCAGCGCCCCAAACATGACGAGCTAGGACAGGAAGACCGTGTCAAGGTTCTGATACACTAGAGAAAAGCACTACAATGATGTCAAATAATAGTTAACATACATTATGTAGCAGATAAGAATAAGGGAATTTTAATATCGAAACTATTTTTTTCTATTAGAATGTTCAAGAAATTACTGGGTCCAGCAATATTTAATCAAGTATAATATTGATATTTTGTATGTATAGGTTTTTATTTAAAACTGACACTCCAAATAGTAAAGGATACCAATCCCACCACCCACTGCGTTTTTTTACATGTATATCGTAACATCCCCTTAATTTTCGTTTAGATATAACTGTACAACAGTTTGGCCAGGATATTTCTGTTGACAAAGAACAAAGAAAATGAAGCTAAATCTATTACAGTGATAGTACATCAATATGAACTACAGGGTTCGAATCCAGATTTAGCCTCACTGTTGTTTTAAACACACATGAACACTGTTATTGATTATATTTTGTTTAAGTCCCACAAGTTATGTTTTTATTTTTAAAAATGATATCAAAGCTTTAGTCATGCCGGAAAAACCAGTTTCCAACACTTACATACAGTTTTTGGTGGTGGTACGGGGATCCTCTAAAACACTAACATTACGCCACATATATAATTAAATTTCCTTAATTCATTTCTTGGTATTTTGTCCAGTGTGTAGGGAGATCATGAACTATGACCTTGACCTTCTGTCCATGAGTAAACGTCAGGCCACAGAAGATGATCACCAGTTATACAAACCATCAGCAGAGATGTGTAAATGGCAAGTTGAAATGGCAGACATTTTGAAATCTCAAAAACAGAAAGGTGGAATCATTGACCTAGAGGCAGAGAAAATCAAATTTCTGGTTACAGCAGAGGTAAGTTACCTAGTTGTAAATGTGTAACATTAAGATGGGGTAAATGTCTGTTATTCACATGTATCTTTCATTGTATACCCCAATTCTTGTAGCTGTGTTAGAAAGTTAAGAACAGAGGTAGGTGTTTAATCTGTTAATGTATACAACAACTCTTTTAGTTTAGACAGGAAGTAAGCTGTCAGTTTCCTTCCTCCGGGAAACTTTCATGTGAAGAAAGATTGATGTATCGCTACTTTAGCATTATAAAATTATCATTCAAGGAATGTAGGTCTATTGTAACTTTTCCACTGCAAATTTGTAATTCCCCAGTTTTTATTGTTTTATTCTGGTTTTCAGGACACTGTAAAACTACCATGGCAAGTAACAAGCTCTGAGCTGGATAACTTAGCGAAGTCAAGTACAAATTCTAAGGAGAGCAGGCAGGCAGTAGACATCAAACCAATTACGGTTGAAGGTAAAAGTCGAAGTGCAGGACTGCACGGTTCGAACAGAGAGAGAACAAACAGACAAGATCACCCAAGGCCGAGCTCTGGACATACGGACAGACATCAACGGTACAGAGGTCATAGGAACTATGGCCGGGATGGACATCGGTCAAATGATGGGAGGAACAGAGGTGGACATAAAGTCAATCGAAGTTACCACACAGGTCAGGTTGATGAGAGGGAAAGGAAAGCAGACTATGATAAGGAAAAACGGTCCGGAGGTAGATCTGTCAAAACAGATGCTACCAGATCTGATCGGACAGATGTTAGTAGTGGAAATGTTTCTCCACAACATAAGGAACACAAGGCTGTAAATGAAAGGTGTGAAACTGCTTCTAAAACGGAAATTGAAAGTCAATTTAGGACTGTAAACAGAGGTTCTGTAGCAGATGATGATCCCAAAAAAAACAAGACCAATGGGGATAAAAGTGCTATAACTAAAGACATAGAACAGGACAGTGCAGGTCAAGGTCAGGAAGACCGTGACAAAAGTAGCAATATTTCTCCCAAAGAAAGTGTGGAAAAACAGACAGAAAGAGTCAGTATAGATTCTGATAAAAGTTTTCAAAGGAAAGGATTTCCTGCGTCAGGAGGTAAAATTAGTGCTAGGTCTTCTAACAAAACAAACTATAGGGGAAGTGAAAGTAAAAATTCTGAATATGAAAACAGAAATTATTATAAGGGTAAAAATGATGACAGGGAAAGGGAACATTCTAGTCGTGGAAGAGGTCAGGGTCGTACTGAGAGAGGTCATGGACGTGGATCAAGGCGAAGTGCCAACCAGGAAGCTGTTAAAAGTAAACCTGAACTGGAGAAAAATAATACTGATCCACAGGAAAAAGGTGATATTGGAAACACTTCGTTGTCACGTCTGACGAAGCATGTGATTTGAGTGAAGTAAATTCACACGGATCTAATTCTACCTACAAAGGAAAAGTTTCCAAAGAACTAGGTTTCCAACGCCCTAACTCAGGCTACAAAGGGAGAAATCAGGGTTTCGGTAGACCTAGCAACAGGACACAATATCATTATGACTCATATTCTAAGCATGGAAAAAGCGAACGAAGAGAGGTCAGTAGCAAAAATGACAAAGGGGAGGTCAATGGCAAATTTGACATAAAAGGGGTCAATGGCAAAAGTAACAGTGGACAGGTCTCTTATGATCACACTCGTACAAGACAAGTTGAGTCGGCAAGTACAAACAAAAGCAGTATAAAACCAGGAGGTAGACACAACTCAGAGACACAGAACTCAACAAGTGACAACTTTGGGGCTATATCAGAAACGTACGATGACAGATTTGTTCAGGATCATAAACATTGGAACAAAGACAAAGAAACTGGTGTGTGTAAAGGTAGAAGTGATACTAACAAAAAGGAAGCTGTTATTACTGGTAAGGAAAGGACTAGTCAGCCAAGCTGTGGGGTGAAACGCCCACCAGGCTTTACTCTGGTCCAAAAAATGAATAATGATGTCAAAATTCCTCCTGGGTTTGAGAAATCAGGAATTTCTGTCTAATTTTATAGAGTTGCTTCATGTAGTACAAAATGAATGTATGACTGTCTTGATTAGAATGCTCTCTAATCAATCAAATGTTATGTTTCTTATAATTATTGAACATGATTTATAGTGATCATAATTTCAAAAGATATATATATGACATTTTGCAGATATTTCCATGGACATCAACTTCTCAAACATACCGGGTTGATGTTCTGTTTAAAATGATGACAAAATTTATGCAATACTGCACTATCCTTATTTTATATATATCCAATTATCAGATTTACCTACCCAAAGAATAATGTTGACGTTTTAGTACATCTGTCCTAAAGCATAAAATCTATTAAAAACATTGTACGTAAATCATTTGTGATGTCATCCATTGTCTGTTTTTTTTAAAATAAAGAGTAGAGTACTAGAGTGCACAATGAAAAATAGTTTGACCTGTAGCTGTCCATAGTTAAGAAGTAATTGTTTATCATTGTGTTTAATAATAGACAGCTACATGTACAGGCATAATAATGCATAGTTCCTTGTAAAATCTTTTTTGCACCTGAAAATTTTGTGGAAGAAAGTCCCCAATTTACCAACAACAAATTAAATGGTTTTACCAGATGTAGGTGCATGTAAACATGATTTTGATTTTCTAGGAAAATATGTATTGATACGTCATTGACAGTAGTATTTACTCCAGGAATAAGCTTAAATGACCATCATTGATGAAATTGTTTGAAGAAAATGAAGAAATTGGTTGAGGAGAAATTAATCTTTTAAAACAAATTCATGGGACAGTATGTTATTAACATAAACTATGTGATTCAGGAATAATCCTATGTCTGTTTAAAAGTATTATGATATGTATTTGATTGATGAATGATAAATGTACAGCAAAAGGAATCATGTAATCACGTGATGAAATATGTTTTGATTTAGAATCAATCTATAGACATTTCCTGACGAATAAAAAAATCCTTGTTATGATTTCCTGGAAGCTACATACAATGTTTCAAATATCACGTTTTTATCTGCCCTTTGATATTTTGTTGATAGTTTAATTTCCTGAGAATTACACGTTCTCGTTTGAAATTACCAAGCAGGACTGACTTATAAAAACCCAGGGGTCACTCTATGAGTATTTGAATATGGAAATCTTGTGATATTCCCAATAATGTCATTGGGCAATCAAGGTCTGTGCTTGTCCAAAATGTCACCAATATGCATGAGTGGACGTATACGTGACTCGGACTACAAAAACACAAATGGCATGCCGTTGTTATCCTCATCACCGATGCATTGTTCAATAGTTACACGTATCCATTTCTAACACTAAATGGTGTTCGATGTTAATACAAAGGGACACACTGTTCTTTTCTATAAGTAATATAATAGCCTTAGACTGACCCTTTTGTGAAAGCATTAAGTTGTTCACCTTGCACCTTTACATAACTTGCATGTTTGATGATGGCCACCGGTAAACTTGTAGTAGTAATATAGAAGGTTGCTTAACGTTATTCATCGTGTATCTTTAGGCTCTTCGTATAACATTCACCAACGTTTCTTGATTATGATTATGCCCTGTGAGTTAGTGAAACCATCATCTTTGCAAAAATAACCAGTGCTATACGGTATGTGGATTCAAGTGTCTGTTCTCGACAATTAGAAACCAGTAAATACAATCTATTTATTACATAAAATGGGGCCTGTTCGTTTATGCGCAACAACCGGTTTGACCATTTATAAATGTAAAAATTTGGTGCATAAATCGGACCTGCAAATGTTCATGCAGGCCTTGCAAGGCTTTGTCAAGGCTCGCCTGAAAGCAGCATCAGATAACTAGATCGACTTTATTTAATAAACGAACAACTGTGGTCCGACTGGTTTGACCGTTCACACGAAAACGGCTTAAATGTGTTTCATAAGTGATAATCAGTGCGTTAACTAGAGTGGGGTAAAATGAATGTTGACTCACTGCGGTGTGTAACTACCTCCATGCTTCTCACCGGTCAGTTCGGACTTGTTATACTGGTCATTGATCAATCTATTAACATGAATGTTGACTCACTGCGGTGTGTAACTACCTCCATGCTTCTCACCGGTCAGTTCGGACTTGTTATACTGGTCATTGATCAATCTATTAACATGAATGTTGACTCACTGCGGTGTGTAACTACCTCCATGCTTCTCACCGGTCAGTTTGGACTTGTTATACTGTTCATTGATCAATCTATTAACATGAATTATTACGTCCGATAAAATACTTAATTACATAATAATAATAAATACTTTTTTTTGTATATGTTATACGACACAATTGCCTTTACCCATATATCAGCCCTCGCCGTATCACACCCCAAAAGCCGTATCAGCCCGTAAAACCCGTATCACACCTCTTCTGAAAATTATTCGTTTTTCAATATTTCAAAAGAAAAATAGATCATCAGATAGTAGCTTTTATAAGTAAGTGTGTAATAAACAGAATAAAACATGCCTTTTTCCATATCACACCCAGTATCAACCCTCGACCAATATCAGCCCTCGGACCTTGGGCTGATATTGCAGTCTCGGGTGTTATATGGAAAAAGGCATGTATTAATCTCTATATACCAGTTCCTCGAACTAGGGATTTTTATGTAAAAAGGTGATTTATTTTCGTATTTGATGCCAAGAATAAAGGGATAGGATAAATTTTAATACTGTAAAAGTCAAAAGTCATATGGATTACTGCTAATGGAAAAAATGTAGGCATATACTTTTTGGCAAAAAGTAGGATAAAATAAACAGGTTCGTTGATTCATTTTTGTTGATCATCTTATTTATATATGTTAATCATAGTAGGAGAATTAATATATTATATAATCAGCCGTCACTGAGTTGAGGAACCTTTGCGAGTACAAAAGAGTACATCTATATGTATGTTTAATATGCAATGAAAACCTTGTATTTGAAAACGTTGGTATAGTGAATGTTGAATGAATAATATAAAATAAGATATAATCATAGTGATGTATTTATTTATAATTAGCGTATGCATTTTGATGTGACATCCAAGTATAAAAGAAATATGAATATGTTTGAATGGATCAATGGACTTTTTACATGTATGTCGCTATATACGCCTTCCTAACTGTATTAAGGTTTTCATGATCAGTATTACGGTTTTGTCATCAGAGGTTGTAATTGTGTAGTCCTAAAATTACTGATTGAATTGTTTTTTTTATAAATATGCCAGAATATATTCGATAAAACCTTTATTGACAAAAGAAAGGGATTAAAAGATGAATTTGCAATGATTTTATGTTAAGAGTATTTCTTGAAGTTCATTTTACATAATTATTATACAATGTTGTATAACAACAGTATAGTCCAATATAGGAACTGGATTTGAACAAACAGGCGTCCTTTGGAGGCGTATTACTGTTACAGTTACATAAGTAAGAACAACAGTATTGGAGGAAATTTGCCATTTTGTGAAGACACTAACATAAAACAATTACATACCCCCACGGACTTAGATAGCAAATCCGTGATACCACAAAATATAAAACTGCTAAAACAGATTTATATATGCTGATGTTAATGCATATCCTTTCAACGAGCTGGTAGCCGGAAATCTTCTTAAACACACTCTTTACATTGTGTACCAAAAAGAATTGATTAATAATTAGTAGATCCTATATCTTGAAAAGCATACAATGTATAAGGCTATGGGACCCTGCCACTAAGTCTCCAGAGGTGGGTGCTCACTATTTTATACAATGTTTGATGACCAGGTCCAAGGTATGCATCGTAAACAAAACTTGAAATCCGTGCTGTAGTCCAGGAAGAGTAGCGTTTTATTTGAAATGGTGTAAGGACGCGATATGATTATCTATCTTTCTGATTAGTTGTGACACCAGACATTGTCCTGGATCTGTATTCATGAGACTTTTCGTGTGCTCAAGCATGTATTTTGTGCTCAAGCCGAAGTTCTTGTTTCCGTTATAAAAAAATGACTATGATTTGAAAAATAAATATTGAAAGAGACCTGAGGCCGATTTATGTTTCAGTGTTTCCTACAACGTTTAGGTCTTATTATGAGAACTTCTTTTTATACAACCAATAAAATTTTCTGTGTGACGTTTCGATGACTAGTACGATATGTACACTGTAACCTTCATCAGACAACTGACCAATGACAATCCTGGCCCACTGGATACGCCGCAGTGGGCCAGTTCTAAATCGAGACGAGGGGACTCCAATACTCTCGCACATCTATGACCAAGTGTTAACAAAGCGTAGCTGAATTTAGTCATTTCGGTACATATAACAACTATTGTACATACGTTTCCAGCGTAGCCGAATTCGACATCGATTTTATGGACAACTCGTACACATTTTACACCTTTGTGTGCATACGCTTCATTGGTCATTTGTCTGATGAAGGTGACAGTGTACATATCGTACTAGTCATCGAAACGTCACATAGAAAATGTTATTGGTTGTGTTAAAAGAAATTCTCATAATCCATACTTGTACCAACCTGAAGAAAATGTTTAGAAACGTTTAGGTCGTTTGACATAATTTAAGGGAGTTACAAGAAAGTGGCTTTGAGTACAGAATCCATGCCTGAGGATGAGAACGGTTTCATGAACACAGGCCCTGGTAATTCTAAACATAAACCAGTTAAGGAAACAACAAACTCAGACTTTTTAAATCAAACCAAATTACTCAAATACTAGATCATGAGGTCATCCGCGCTATTTCCCCTACGATTTCACATGAAATAACTACAGCGCATGGACTGCTTACTGTACGAGTCCATTTGGTGGAAAATAGAACATTATTAATAAAAAAGTTTCTTAATTCCACTACTGACAAATGCATTTAATTGTACACCTACAACATGTATCCTATGTTTTTAATTTCCATGAAAAATACGTGTAACATGATATAGCAACGGTTTATCCATTCAGCATCTTATGATTGTCATCATACGATATATGAATTCTTTAAAATGTACATGAGACTATACATCT